GTTTCTAGAAGCTGGGTTTTGAAGGGAATAAAGAATGACTGCTAATGAATCTTAGGTTTCTTTTGGGGGTGATCAAAGCATTCCAGAATTATATAGTGGTAGTAGTTGCACAATTCTGTAAAAACTAATTTTTACACTTTGTAAAGGTGAATTGCAAACATGGTGTGTTTTTTTCCCTTAAATTTGAAATGCAAGCAATCACACACACACACTGAATTGAGCTATGATCTCTGTACCTCTCTGGATTCAGTGTATTCCTGATAATGTCACCTTCCACAGTAATATAAACATATTTTGTCTAAATATAATTTTTCATTGGCTACATATTCTTTTTCTGAAGTTTTACTTTCATACTCCAATTCCAATGTGACCAACCATCCCAAGTTTTCCCAGCCCCGGGGGTGGTTTCCCAAGATATGGGATTTTCAGTATGAAAACATAGGAAGTTCCAAGAAAACTTGGTTCTTGCCTAATTTTGTACAGTTTACTTAACTCCTCTTCTCTTTGTTGAAGTCCTGACGATATTCTCTGTGCTGCCTTTTACACTCTTTCCTGCCAATGTGACACCTTCTCCCTGTGCTATTCCATTTGCGCTAATGGTTTTATTATGAAGCAGTTGCTCAAAATTAGTAAATCTCATCTAAGTCTCTCCTGAGGTTGAGACATGCATAGCCAACTGTCTTCTGGCTGTTTCAGTCAGAGATATCTTTGGCCATTAATACCTAAGTCGCATGCTAAATCAAAACTGGGTTTAGTGCCCAAATTAACTCTCTTGATATTAGCACATCCATTCAATCTCTTGAGCTAAAAGTGAGTTATCTCCTCTCGTCTTTGCTTTATCATCACATCTAATGACTCACCATACTCTAATTACAGCACCTGGGAAACTTCTCAGACCTGCCCTACCGCCTGCCTCTCATGCTTGGTCTCACTAACATCTGTGACTGACACTGATGAGTAGACCAATGTTTCTCCTACTTTTTAAATCCACGATCACTTTGAGAAACTCAAAAACCACATAATGTTAGGTCAACTTTCAAAACACAGTATTAAAATTGAAACCAAAGACAAGGCGTGATGTACAGCTTATGTTCTCCACATTAGACAGTGTCTTATTCCATAGACAGTCCAAAGCAGCACCTCCTGAATCCCTCCTTTCTCTCTGTCTCTCTCTCACACACACACCATACCCACATCCACGAACTATCACCCACGCACACCACCGCACAGCACACAGGCACGCACATGCACACTCGCGGGCTCCAGCAGTGAGGACGTGTTCTAAGTTACCCCAGCCCAGCCTGATTGTTTGGGGGTTGGGGCAACTGTTCTTTCCTCCTGGAAGACTGTATTCCAAACTTGCTACCTCCTGAACTAGTCATCCTTCAGAATTCATATTCACCGTTGGGGGCTCTGAAAATCCTTCTCTGAACACATCAGCCCCAAGGAGGATAGATCATTTTCTCTGTTTTAACCTACTTCTAATGTTGCACTTATCACAGAGTAGCATCATTTACCTGGCTGTGTAACGGATGCCCCCAGCATGAGAGGGAACTCTAGCTCACTTATCTATGCATCTTTATTTCCTTCTTTTTTTTTTTTCTGAGAACAAAAGTTCTCTTTTATTTATTTATTTTTATTGAAGTATAGTCAGTTTATAATGTTGCATCTTATATCTCCTTATAACTGAAAAATAGGGGTCATCAGACTCAACTTACTAAACTCCACTCATATTTCTGATACATGTATTACTTGGATTAAGTGATGACAACTTATGCAGGAAGCTTAAAATAGGACTCAGGGGCATTTTAATAATAACTGAAAAAAGAATCTTTGGGTAGTTTCTATGCACAGTTATCGAAAGTATAAAGTATATTGACATGTGCATCCATCAGTCTAGGCTTGTGAAATAGAATGTACCAAGTAACACAAATACAGGTACCATACTTAGTATCTCCTTGCTAGTAATCAATCTTTCTTTTCCTACTCAGCCAAGCACTTTGAAAAAGTGATGTACAAGCAGTATCTCCTTTTCCTAACTTCTCATTTTCTCCTCATACCTACAGAAATGGAGTATTTCCATCCACTTATACATTAAAACTGTGATGGTAGATGCCAGCAATGCCCTCTCTATGGCCAGATCCAAAGGACATATTTTATCTCTTAAGTTATTGACTTTTGGCTGCTGTTGGGCATTCCCCGTGGGTCTCCCTACCACCTTGGCTTCCGGTTCTCCTGCTTCTTTATCCATCATTTCTTACCTGTGTCGGGGATCCTCTTCCTTTACCCACTCCTTAAGCCTCGGTCTTACCTGGGACTCTCTGTTGTTTCCTAACTCTATTCCCTTCAGTGATGTTGTCCACTTCCCCAGGTAACTGAGTGCCTCAGCTTCATATACCCAACCATTTCTCGGACATATACCCTCAGATAAAGCACAGGTACCACAAAATCATTATATTGAAATTTGAATGCTTTACTGCCCCCCCAACACTTAGGGCTGATTCGCTTGTTCAATTCTGCATCTCACTTGGTGGTCTGCCATCACCCAGACCACTGATATAACAGTCCACCTAAACTCTTCCCTTAAAAAAAAAACCAAGTTCAGTTGACAACGAAGCACCACCTATCAGGCTTGCTTCATTCTAAGTTTGAACTGTTTCCTTTCTAGACCCTCTGCTACTCCAGTAGGTCAAGACCTTGTCATCTTTCTCTGGACTATTATCACAGTCTATTAACTGATTTGCTTGTCTCTAGTTTTGCCCATATCACATTCATATTCCATTATCCTGACTTCTGCCAAAGTAATACGTATCTTATATAGGCATACATGCACATATCATGCAAATACGACTAAGCCACTCTCCAAATCAAAATCCATTAGTGCATCCTTGTATCCGTGTAGTGTTTATTAAATTTTATATTTTGGTCCAGTTATCACATACGGAAATCTAAACCCATCCTACAGTATTAACCAGGGATGCATATTTACTTTTCTCTTCTATTTAAAATAGAAAAACAACACCGCCTCCCCCCACAAAAAACTAACTTTTTATTGATTTTCAGACCTACCGGTAGGTTGTAACTCACAACTTTGAAAACACTGACCTACAGGCTACAGCCCACCTTAATACCCTCCCACCAACTTACTGTTGCTCTTTTCAAATCAACCTAGAAAGGCATTTTTATGGATATGGAGAGCTCAGTTTATGGACATCACTTTCTAGAGAGAATCAGCAGAAATGAGGAATGAACTGCAAACTTTAAATTCTTCACACCACCTGAAGAGAAGTTCACTATTTAATTAGAAAAGCACAGAGTCAGCAAAGTGACTGTCAGACAGGAGGATCCAAAGAGATGACAGTTGCTTCTTCTCAGCCGCTAAACTCAGAGGGGCCACCAGAAAGGTTCCTCAAGGTGCAAGGTAAGTTACAGCACATTTCCAAAACCATGAGTCCATGGAAAGCAAAGACAAAAGCAGAAAAAAATGATCTGGAGTCTTACTGGCAAGGATGCCAATTGCTGCTTCATATCTAATAACTCTAATCTTCAGTGGACATTGGAATGAGTGGGAACAATTAAAACGGAACGTCAACATGCAGAGTATAATGCATCTTAAAAATCAATGTTAATTAATCAAAGAACCTTCTCCAAAGTTGCTCGAATCCTAATATAAGTAAAATGTTTTCTAATGCCTAGAACATAAGATGGAAAGAGGGGGACTCACAAGTTTTCCATGAGTTGTTAAGAAAAGTTCCACCATTAGGAAAATGACTTTACACTTAAAACATTTATAAAAAAAAAGGCAGCGTCATTAAGAGTACTTCTTCCAACTTAGTACTTTACTCAGTGTAAGTGTGAATCATTTTCACTATGGTTAAATCAAAATTATTTATATTCCTTGAAAAGTACTGATTAAATGGAGATGACATTCAAGCATATGTACTGAGATAAAATCTATAACCTATCAATTTTATATCCTGAAACATAAATAACTTTAAATTATTTGTGACTGCAATATACAAAATATAAGAATTTAAATGTTTTATGTAATTTCAGCCTTTGTCAATGTGAATAAAAACTTGACATAGCAAAAGAATTACAAAAAATGTACTTTTCTTGGCACAGCGTTTTGAAAATTTCATTACTTTATTTTGGTGTTACTTCAAAGAATTCTCAGTTAGCTAACGAAATCTACAGGATATCACTTTTAAGACCTGTTCCTTCAATGGTTTTTGCTAAAAATCTTGGAAGGAGGCATTTCCCCAGTAGTAACTACTTGGCTGTCACGGTTATGCTAAGAGTATTGCCACTGCTGAGGTATTTTAAGGAAATGTTTAATCTTTCTCACCAGGAGCATAATTCTATTCAGAAGACTGAATATATCTTGCTACTCTGAATAACCTTAAAACTCTACATTTTATCTATCAAAATCCACTTTTGCAACTCAGAGTTTACTTATTTGGTTTCTTCTCCATGTCCTGCTTGGATTGGCCATGTAACTCCACACTAGGATCTACAGTCAAGGTTACAAAAATAAAAATAGCACTGATAGGAAACCCCTCCTTTAGACTGTCCGTTACCTTTAAATAACATAGTGGGAGGGCAGATGATAAACTACTCATCACTTCCATTATTTGCAAGCTCCTCCCCTCTCTGTATCTTGCATCCTCACTTTTCCAGAATCTGAGGTTCCAGCCCACATACATTCTAAATCCGAAAGGTACGGAATTTCTGGCACCCTAGTTCCCTGAAAAATGTGCCCATTTCCTCTAACTAGTTTCATCTTTCCAACATGGCACCAGAAACATCACTGAATAAAGATACTGACTACCCAAAGCTCAGGACAATTTAATCTAATTCAATAGTAACCTTTTAATCACCCCATACACCAGAGAAGCCCAAGTTTCTAGTCTCACATGCAGTGTGAATGAATAAATCTGTAACCAGCGATCTGGGTAAGAGACGACATTTTCAGTCAATAAAACCAATGCCATACTCACGGTGGAGGTTGATGGGGCTGGTGTTCAGCATTTCTTGGGGTTTTGCAGGCAGCAGGCTTCACCATGTCCCTGACCACACACCTGGGACGCATGATAGACAGCACAATGCACTATTAATTATAAAATGGGTAGAAACAGCTGGAAATTAAACACGGTACTGAAAACAAGTCTAAGGGGAAATCTCTGCAAGTCCCATTAATCTTAACCTGGGGACCCTGGAAAAGCCCTTCCAGTTGGAAATCTTCGACTCAGGTGTCCAAGGGCTCAATGATACCCACACGAAATCCGTGCTAGCCTCGGGACTGGATTTCCCTTTGAGTGCCAACAAAATGATTGTCAGCAGCTTTCCCCATAGAAGCAACACCGCAGAAAGCTTTGGCTTCATTCTATGAAGACATCTGCAAGCTTAAAAATAAGAACTGCTGTTGGGCTGGGATGGTAAAAGACGGGCAGGATTTTCCATGATTGTGGCTATTTTACTAAAGGATGTGGACTCTTGTTTCATCACCACACAGGTCTTTCTCTTTGTGCAAAAAGAGATCTGAGAGACCTCAAGACATCCCCCATGTTCAAAATCCCCTTCAAGCTAAGAAAAGAGGAAGAGTTAGAAGAAAATATTCACATACAGAGTATGTGTGTGTATGTGTATGTACACATAAAACAGAGAAGAGCCCTGCACAGTGTGAAAATAATCAGTGAAAGGTCTTTGTGTCTTAAGTCCTCCAGCACAGGACAAATAAATGCAGAGGGCGGACCATAGCTCCAGAGGGCAGCAGGAGGAGATTCTCTTAGCCTCATGTCAACAGGGCTTACAGAGTGTCGGAGAGATTAACTGGCACAAACCATAAAACACCACCACCTGAGGCTGTCCTTAGATGGCTCAGATTTTCTTTCACCTCAAGAGCTTTGAAACATACATAGCTTTGAACAGGGAAGCCTTGGTTACAAGGCTGAGACCCCACATCTTAGACTTTGCTAAATGGAAAAGCCTGTCAAGACTCAAGATTCTCCAACGTGAATCTGGTTCTTCACTTTCAGGAAGGTTTTGACTACACTTGGAATTTCAAAGACATGGCTCATATTGAAGGCTAGTCATGGGATTCCAGAAGTGGATGGCTGGTGAGGCAGTGACAGATAAACTATTTTCCCAGAGATAAAAGCTGCATGGCAAAATTCTCCACTTCTGAAAGTGATGATACAGGAAACATGGACACAATGCACAGAAACATTCACACACACACACACAGAGCTCATTCCAAACAAGATCAAGTAAGACATAGAAGTCCATGTGCAACATGACAGAAAAAGAAAACAGTGCCTTTCAAAGCCTTCCCTCTTGGGATAAAAGTAAGAAATGCAATGTTTGTCTAGAGCTAATGTTACACTCTTCATGGGCCAGTCAGGAGCAAGGGTCAAAAACATCCACAGGAACCAAGAACCTTCTGGTCTCCTTCCACAGAGGAAAAGGCTGCTTTCCTTCCATTCTGGAACATTCCAGGACATTCCAGAAGGCAGATGTGAGGGACAAGTAATATCCTAGGGTTTCTGAGCTCAGAGATGTTAATACAACTTATACAAAGTGCAGGGCCCAGGAAGTTCCATTTCAAAGCACTGGAAAATCTTTAGCAAGTCTCACTCAGCCAAAAATAGCACGTGCAGCATGCTGAATTTCCATGCACTGGTTTGTGAAAATATCAGAAATATCACCAACTTTGGGAAAAAATTTGAAAAATTATATCTATGAGAAACCATATGCAACCTTCTGTCTTAGTTCATTTCTTTTTTTTCCTCTCTCTAAATATTCAGGAATTTACACAAAGCTTTGGGAAAAAAAAAAAAAAAAGAAACCTGTCACTTAATTTACACAAAGCTTTGGGGGAAAAATGAATCTGTCCCTTAATTAGAGTTTTCCTTAAATGTGCTTTTAAGTCACTCTTTTCTAATAAATGTGGAATACTTATTCCAGCAGAAGGCTAGGTTTCTAAGCAAAGCATGTGTGTGTGGGTCTGTGTGTGGAGGGGTCTGTGTGTGGAGGGGACTATGTGTGTGTGTGTTTGTGTATGTGAAAGACCACATCTATGCAAGGAAATTCTCATCTAATCTCGAGTACCCAGAGACTTTTGGGTTTAAAACAATAATAGCTGGCATACTTCTCTCTGCACATGCGGTACAATCTTTTAAATAAAAAACTTCATTTGAATTTCTGAACTTTAAAATTTTATTGGATATGAAAATAAACACATCAAGACTCAAAACCATCTATTTAGAATTTAAATGTACTTATTTTAAAATATATTTACTTAATATACTTTACTTTTTAAAATTAAAATCTTACTGGCTAATGAAAACAAATACATCCACACTCAAAAGCCATATATTAAGAATTTAAATGTACTTAATTTAAAATATAGTTAATGAATATACTTCATTTTTTAAAAAACAAGAAAACAACATATTTTTCACACTGACATATGTCCTGGCTACAGGTCTAGAGTAAAGCAGCTGGATGTTGAACCTTTGTTTTCAAGGGGAAAGCTGTTTGTTCCAGATTGCTAATTATTCAACCAGTTTGAGGGGGCTCTGAACAATGGCAAGATGTATCCCTGCATTTTCTAATTTGACTTCTTTTTAGCTGAAATTCTTCTAGAGAAAAAGAGGAAAAAGAATCTATACTCAGAACAAGATATATAAAATAATACATTGCATGCCTAAGAGTTTTGTCAGCCTGAGCGAATTAACATTCCTTTAAAATTACAATTGAATTGTCATGTCTGGCACGATGCACTTTAGAGGGATAACCCATCACGGTGTTGTCAGTTTTCAAGTGTGGAAATTCTTTGGCCCCATGGTCTTCCATACACTAAACCTATTGTAGTAACACCGACCCCTCATACTTGAAGAAACACAAGTGATATTTCAGTATGGCCCTATTCAGAGTCTTCCTTAACGTATGATTTATTCCTTCAGCCAGACATAAGGAGGCTACAAGTGCTGACTTGCCAGAATTATCATGGATTGAGAGACTGGGAGTTTCAGAGGTGTGACCTCTTACTCTTGCAATGTCTCTAATTACTCAGGGGTTTATCAGACGGTCTTGGAACTGCGTGTGAGCAAGCATCCCTCATCCCTCAAGCATCACTGAAAATCTATGCAAATGAGGCGTTCGGCAGCCCCCTGGCAGGGGGAGCTGCTCCTCCTGACTCCGCCCCTCGAGCTGCCGGGTTTTATGAATGACTGCAATCAATGCGCTGAACAGCTGCCAACTGCCCACTCAGCCGAGGCTACGCCGCCCTGCAGCACATGCGGGAGAAGATGCATCGCCTCACGCCTGCAGATGAGGCTACAAGGGGAAGGCTCTCATCTCTCCGCACAGGAACTCAATGTGCTTCCAGATTCTCAGAGTACGTGAATTAAAAATTCTCAGTGCCTTCACAACACACAATTTACATAATGACTTTCTCCCTTTTGAGTTTCCATTTTGGTGCCTGCAATCAGGAGTGCCCCCTTTCTCCTTCCCTACTTGCAGGAAAAGAAAAAAGCCAAAACCTCACTGTTTAATGCAATTTGATCTCTGTTGAACTTTATCTAGATTGTTTTATCATTCTTGATTAGTGTCAGGAGAGGAGTTACTGTGTACGAAGCCGTCAAATAGATTAGGACATGTTTACATTTTTGTCCTCAATCTTTTGGGTTTTGGATTTCACTGAGGTTTCTCTTCCCATCAATGGAGACAATAATGACATTCACACAGTGCTGGGGGAAAGTGTATTTGTGCTTCTCTCCCCAGTGTTACTCTACTAGCCTGCACTGGTCATGGGAGACCTTAGAATCAGTTAAAATGACACCACGCTGAGAATTTTTCCAATATATAATCTTCTAATTTGCTGATCGCCAATCAAAATACATAGAAACAAGGGGAAATAGACAAGGAGGGACTCTGGGGGCTCTGGTTTCTGTTTCCAGCCGTTTTCTTCTAAATCTCCCATTCAAATACTTCAGACCCCTCTTCTGCAAGCCTTTACCCCAAAGCTCCTAAAATATTTGCAAAATTCCCATCTCCAGCCGGATCCTCTCTTGACTCCAGACCTCCAACTGCCTCCCCAGTGTTTTCGCCTGGATTTCTAATAGGCCTCTCAGAATCAACCTTTCCAACTGGAATTCTTCATGTGTTCCCACACACCTAATGCTCCAGCAGTCAACGCCATCTTGACTGATTGTAGATACATTTTTCCAGCTGTTCAGGCCAAAAAATTTAGACTTGATTTCTCATTTCCCTGGGACCTGTGAGAGAATCCTTCAGACTGGTTTTAATTTCAAAATAATTGCCAAATCAAACCTTTGCTCCTCCCTCTCCACTGTCCCCACACCTGTCCTGGGCCAATACCATCTCTCCCTCAGATTCCTGCAGTAAACTTCTCATGAGAGCATCTGCCCTCTTCCTCGAGCCTATCTTCACAGAATAGCCAGAGAGACCGTATGGAAAGAGAAGTCAGACATGACTCCTCCGCTCACAATCTCGCAATGTTCCCCAGTTAACTCACAAAAAGTGTCAGAGACCTTAGAATACAATCCGGCCTCCTGTAACATTCGGAATTCATCTTAGACTTTTCCTTCCCTGCCTCCCTTCCTCCCTGTTCGCCCTCCTGCAGAGGCAATGGCCTTCCTGCCGGTCTTCCTCATGTGCAGCAGGCCTGGTCTCACTGGGGCGAGGCTTTGGCCCCAACCACTCCTTTTGTCTCGAATGCTCCTCCCTGATATTTAGTGTGACGAATCCCCTCACCTCTTTCAATTTTTGGCTCAAATGTCAGTTTTTGATGGTTCTTATTCTTGTTATGACAATCGGCCCCTAGCCAGACTTCCAGTGCTCTTTGTTTGATCTACTTCTTATCAAAAAGTACTGCCCCGTACAGCCGAAATATATACAATCTGGTTCACTGACATGGTCTGAGCCTAGAATAGTGCAAGACGTAATAGTCACTCCTCACGTTTGTTAAATGAATGAACAAGATAAAAAGCTATCAATTTCAAGCTTGAGTAACTAACATGTTAAAAGACAGTGATTTACGATAAATTTAGGTAAC